CCGTGGGAGACTGTGTCAAAGGCTTTACTTTACTCATTTTCCTCATTTATTTTCCTCATTTATTTTCCGCATTTATTTTCCTCATTTACTCATTTATTTTACTCATTTTCCCAGAATGATTGGTGTGTAGTGGTATGAATGTCAGGGCAGTAGACACCCCATGCAAGTGTGTTGCCTTGCAGGTACACTCTGTTCTTACCTGGATCACTGGAAACTTTCAGATGAGAAATTCAGTTTGGGAAACTGGCTATCTCTTAAGAGAGAATTTGTGAGAATTTCTCCTCAGGTGCAAGCCAAGATAACAAAATTAAGTATTCTGAGTAGCAGACTATGCCCAGCAGTAGCTCCAAGTGCTTCAGGGAGGACAGTCATGAAAACTTCCTTCCACAGGAATCTCAGCCATGGAGAGGACTGGTCATGAAACAGCCCAGTGGACACATACCACAGAACACCTTACTGAGATCTTGTCCTCTTTGTGAAATTCTGGGGAAGTTCACCTAACCTGATAGCGAATGGTAAAGCTCTGAGCATCCTCAGCATTTGTTTCTCCTGTGTATTTTCTGCACCTTCTCCTTGACAAATTTTTGGGCTCTTTTGGGCAGTATATTTGAGCGGTTCGTGCCATCTAGTGGTCACATTGGTTTCCCAATCTTGTTATTTTAACTTAAAAATTAATTGAGAGACATTTCAGCTACAAGAGGACTGAAATAAGGGATCGGGAATTTAATGTTCAAAGAAAATTCTATTCCATAGAGACTTCTTCATCTCTTCAGAGCAGCAGTGATTAGCTTTCCGATCCAGCCTCTCAGATACCCCCATAAGAGCTATCTTAAAATGTTATGTTTCTGGCGAGAAAGGACTGCTCCCTCTGAGCTAGGGGCATGTGTGTGGACAGAAGTCAGGTTAGAGGGAAAATTCAAGCTGTAGTAGATACCGTCAACACAGCAAAGACTGGGTGCCCCATGCCTGCTGTTCTTGCAGTCCTGGATAAGCCCTGTCATAGCCATAGCTCCAATTGCACCCGATGAGGTTTTCCTAAGCTAAATTTAAGGTAGCTAACCTAAATACTGCTAGCACTACAGGCACACAGCACTGGGCAAAAAAACACCTCAGAGGTTGAGCGAACACTGAGTCCAAGGCATATGTGATTAGATTGTCAGTCCCTTGACTACATGATTTGAAACCAACCTGGATGTTTTGGAGCTGTGTGCCTGGGCTTTTAATGCTGAGATTTTCCTCTGCTCAAAGCACCTACAGTGGTGATAAACACAGAGCAGCTCCAGGAGGTGGGAGTCATCTGATGAGATGTAGATGTTCCCAGAGCTGGTGTCCTCCTCTGAGCTCTCTGACTGGACTCCCTATATTATACATGGCATAAATTAGACCCAGCAGAGGGCAATTCCATCCCATCCTATGGTGGATGCGGGTAATTAAATTGAGTCAGACATCATATGGTCAGAAATAGAAAAAAACTTTATTTCTGTGGACTAAAAAAGAAGACAAAGATACACAGTAGGGTATTCCCATTCCTTATTATGCTACTTATTGAGAAACCCTGCTCTGATCCTCCCCATTCTCCTTCTGTATGCACACCGATTCGCCCCCATCTCCATGGGAAGCTGCAACAGGGAAGATGACCTGAAGTAATGTAGGGTAGGGGAAGAGTGTCCATGTCATGCTGTTTGGGTCCAGTGACCTCTGCACTCTGAAACATGGACCATCCGAAAGCTGAACGAGAGCTTACCTAAGCTTACTAAATAGGAGATGTGAGGAACCACTGTGTGGTTGGATTAACATATGTCTTTGAAGGTTATCCACTACTCTGGGTACACCCTACAGGCTCCTAAACTTTGTAGGAAATCCAGAGCCATATCATCTCCAAGTAAAAGATCCGAGATTTTCCAAAAGATCTTGGGAGAGACCAAATCAGAATTGGTTATTTAATGCCTCTTTCAACATAATAGCTGTGAAACAGTATATGGAGCTCTCATGTGACAAGTTCAAAGTGATCAAAAGGTTGTGGGATTTTCTGCAGTGTATATTTAGGATGTGGAACTTCTCACAAGATGCTGTGAATGCTAAATTTTATCCAGTCTCTTCAGAGGAGATGGTAAGTTTATGGAAAATAAATTAATTGAGCACTACTAAACAAACGGAAGCCATCTCCTGGTCAGGAGGTACCATAGCTACAAGTAGCTGAAGACTAGAAGCATCTTTGAAAAATACTTTATGTGCTTGCTCCATTTCTTATGTTCTCTCCTAAGCACCTTTGACAGCTTTTACATGGCAGTGAGCTGCAAGGTCACTGTTCTGCTTGTGTTCCTTTTGAACATCTGAATGTAGTTACAGGTTTCAGCCTGAGAAACAATCTGTTGAAAAGATGTGTAACAGTAGACTGTTGCTGCAGAAATCTTCTATGGAAACATAGAAGTGTAACATGGGATAGCAGAATATAAAGTAATGTAATGTAATGTAATGTAATGTAATGTAATATAATATAATATAATATAATATAATATAATATAATATAATATAATATAATATTCTTGTCTGCTGTTTAGTTGCTGGATCTATAAAGTAATTCAGTCTTTTCCACTGAGGTTGCTCAGATGTCTGCAAATTTCCTTTCTTCCTGGAGGAGTGGAAGGGGTTCCCCAGGTTCTTCTACCAGAAACCGCCTTATTTCTCCCTATTGCTTTGCTAGGTTACTTTACCCCATCCCTTGAGCCCAAAGAGGCAGGGAGGCCAAAACAGTTTCAAAAGGAGAAAGTACAGGAGCTGTACAACATGTATTTGAGACTATCATCAGCTGTTTTCACAGGACTAACTGTGGAAAACTAGGACTATCCCACCACCAGCTATGATCCTTTCCCAGCCAGAGTGGAAAAAGGCTATTTATGTGGGTCAAGATCCAACCCAAAGGTCTCTACCAATCCCTGTGAGATGGCTGGGGGGATGAGCCCTTGGAGAAGCACAAAGGTGCTGCCTCCATCGCTCTGAGAACCAGTCTTCACCTCATTTACTATAAACAAACAAGCTAGGAGGGAGTTCTTGCTTTGATCTTTCAAAGTTTTGGATACTCCAAGGTCTGTGCCTAGCAGGAAATTAGTCAAACATCATGGGAAGCTGCAAAAGCAAGACGTGAGCCTATCCAAGCCTGAGCTGTTATCGAAGGCAGAGGCGAGTGAAGACACTATTTGGATAACCCTTGCTCAGGCACCACAGCTCAGACTTGCGTTGCAAGGCAAATATTTACCTACGGCCTAAACAAAGTCAGCGTTTCAAAACTTTGTTCAAAATACTGCATAACCCTGAGCTGTTTCCTTGAACTTGCCTCAGAGAAGGAAAGATCTTGTGCCTGGTACCTATGCGGGCTGCTCTCAGGAGACAAGCAGGAAGAAAATGAAGCATCTGCTCTGCTTCCTGGTTTTGTTCCTCATTTCTGGAGTAGGAAGCTTTGATCTTGTTATCGACGAAATCCCAGATGTGAGTATTTCAAGGCAAGGCCTAGGTCTCACTTCTGTGCCGAAGTCTGACTTCGGTGGGAGCAGAACTGGGTCACTGCTTCATAGCTCTGCCTGTATCTCATGAATTTTCTTCTACTTTTAGCTGTACATGGTGTTGCTCTGATAATTGGTTTTCACCTGTCATTCGCAGTGTTGCTTTTTTAATATTATTAATGTTGGTGTAGTCTGGGTGTAACTCCACATTTCTTTTCAAGCGGAATCCATATTTTTACCTCAACTTTGCCTTTTCTGGTGGTTTCAAACATTCAAGTGGACCTCTGTGCTTAGACCTTCAGTGCATTTTATATCTTTTCTCCTTGGAATAAGCAGAAACAGAGCACCTAGATATCTTTGTGGGTGGGGTAGGAGACCCCTGTATGGACCACTATGAACTTCAGCAAAGCTTCATATGGACTCAGGTTTTTGTTATGGAGTTAAGATCCTATTGACTGTATATTCCTCAGCAAAGTGATGAGATAATTTATAGAAGAGCTTGTGTTTGCTTAGGATAATATAATGATGAAAAGAAGTATAGATATAGCTTTGACTCTGAAGCTGAGTCCGAATTTAAACCCCCGGAATCAGGTGAACTTAAATTTGGGTGCCTATACCGATTTCCACTTTGCAGTGTGTATTGCAATATTTCTGTGAAGTCAGCAGGGATGTTGTGAAGCTTTCTTTTCCTTTGCAAGATTAACAAAAAGAATTAGTGAGGGGGGGTATCCTCTTTTTTTCTTCTTCTTCTTGCAGCCCTTTTCATGACACAGTGAGTTTTTTGTCCTGAGTTTGTAATTCCCAGGAGAAATATTCCAGATCTGTTGTCCTTTCTAACCATAGATGCCACATCAGTTTAACATCAAGGTGCTGAAACAATTTAAGTTAGTTTTGTGCAAATCTGTCTGTGTATGCTATCATACAAGTTGGAGAGCACCTCATATACTTAAACTTCTTTATTGTCATAAATTAAACTTCTAACAAAATTTAATTAAGAGCATTACTGTGGTGTAAGAACCACGCTTCTAATAGAATCAGCTTTACACATGGAAAATACCTGATGTTCCTTTGCTCTCAATCAGACACATTTAATTCTCAGGCATATTAGTATAAAATCAGAGACCATTTCTACTAGTTTGAGCAGAATTTCTCTGAACTTGATGGCCTAAGTGAGATAATTATCTGAAATGCTGTAGTTACCATGGCTGGACCCATCCTGATTATAATCTGCATCTTGCTCTTTATGGTCATTTGAGTGCATTAAATATTACCCCTTGTTTCAGAAGGAAAAGTTGTAAAATTATGTTGAAGGCCACGTCCTTATAAGAGCATACAGAACTAGTTGGCCACAGATGGAAACTGAGTGTGTGAAGATGCAGCATTTTGTTCTGAAATAGTTTGTGCCTGAGTTGCCTTTTTGCACCAAGGGGAGGTAAATTCCCCTTGGAACTCCATTAGAGTGTCAATCAATAATAAATCAAGTGATAAATCAAACAGCAAGGCAGCAGCAACACCTCTTTCTTTCTTCCTCTTTCTTCTCTAGGAAGTGGAAAACCTGATCGACCTAGAAATCGATGGATTTCCTTCAAGTTCCAAGATGAGAAATGGCAGGTACCAGGTACAGTACCCAGAAATGCTTCAAAAAAAGGGGAATAAGAATGCCTGGGAGCAATCTCCAGGTGTTTTGTGCAACCAGGTGGTATCAACAGGTTCTTATGGGCCTTCATACCTTCATATCTCTTGTTGGGATAAGAACTGCCATTATCCTTGATGCAGTGCCTGGCACGACAAGGCTTTGTTCCATGTCTGAGCTGCTGAGAACCATAAAACAGATGCTAAAGTATTGAAATACTTGTCTGTCTAACGTCATGTGTGGGAAAAATCCCATCGGAACTGATGGGGCTTTTCTATGAGAAAATGGAGAAGGACTTCAGACATTGGCCATGTAGACTGAAACCTTTCAGTTCTGCAGGTAGCCCATTCATTCATATTGAACTCAGGTCAAAAGGGTGCAGCGCAGTGTCACATGGGTAATGAGCTGCTGGAGTTTGAGACCAGGGAAGAAAACGTATTTACAGCACACTGATGTGTTGTAGATTAATGTGTTTTGTCAGCTTCTGAAACAGGAACATGTAAAACAGCATCGCAGGAGTTTTCTTGTGTTTTATACAGTAGTAATTAATGATAATGATCGTGAAATCAGTTGTTTGAAGGTATTAACTTTTATTACACTGAATGAAAGATGTGATGGTCTGAGTGGACCTTATCCTTCACCAAAGCTGCCTTTGGTGCTGCCTTTCTTGAACTTGTTCAATACAGTGAAAACAAAAGATTCTCTTGAGTAAAGTTGGATTTCCCAACATCTTTGAAGTTAAGCATAGGCAAATGCGATTCTTCTTTTTCCTAAGACTTTCCAAAAGGGTCCTCATACAGAGTGTAAATGTAACTTATTGACACCTAAAGCCCCCATTACACTGCCAGAAAAATGAAAGATTTTAGCACAAAAGTGAATCAAGCCGGCTTACATTTGTCAGACCAGTATTTAAATAGTTTAATCATGATCTAAGCAGAAATCTTGTCCAGCTGTGCTTCTTCAGGGCATCATTGCTTTCCAACATGTCTGTATTAGTGCCAGATGCATTATGCTGCCTCTGTTCCCCAACTTTCCAGATACATAGTGGTATAGACCTATACGTGCAGCAATTTGCAGTTCTACAAGTGGATTTAGTTTTCCAGTTATCCTTTATATTCCCACATATTATTTTCCATCTTTTACCTAGAAATGAGCCTTTGCAAACCAACAGAAATAAGGTCTCGGCTATAGGATGAGCTACCCTTATGTTAGTTGAGTCACAATAAAAGATTAATAAATGAGGTTAAACTGAACTATGCAAAACACTTTGAGACAGCAGCCCTTGACCAACAGCAGGCATACAGTTATTTACTGTGGATCACCACAGGAAGGTTGTCTTCCAAATTATTGCTTTAGTGCTAAGCTTTTCTACAGTGAGCTCACTAGCCCATGAGCAACAAGACAGCAGAACTCCTCTGCAGATCCTACTGATGAGCTGTAAAGAGAAAGAATTGTTTTCTAGGGCCAGATCATGTATTCAGGTGAAAAATATTTGCTCCTGAGTAACTCCAAAATACTGTGTCTCAGGTATGTGAATGGCCCTTGTGACCACAGAAACAGAGCACAGGTAACCTTGTGAACCTCCATATGATGGTGCACTGCCGTTATCTCTGTTTTGGAGACCGATAACAGAGCTTTTCCTAGACTGCAAAGCAGGATGTTCTGTAGCGTGTCCCTCAGTCCTGGTCCTGATCTCTGGCTGTCCAAAGCCAGGTGAGATCACACCTATTTCCATACCACTGTGGCTGTCTGGTTTCCTCTTCATGAGAACCAGCACAAGACAGAAATGAGGACGGAGAGGATGGAATCAGCTGCCTGGAGAGTCCACTGGCTGCCAGGGTACAAACAATACCAAAAAGACCAGGACTCATCTGTAGCACTATGAAGACAAGCTGTGCCAAGACCTAGGTTTGAAATTGCTCCTCTTGCACCTCACAGTAAAAGGGCCGTGATCCCCAGAAGGAGTCTGAAGAGGTTGCAGTGAAATTGCAGTGAGTTAAAAGCTGCTTAGGAAATGGCTCACATGAAAACAAATGAGTCTATAAGGAAACAGCACCTCAAAGAACTGGGAGAACATGCCCTGTAGATCTCATCTTCTTTCTAGTTTGTCATGCTGGACATCTGCTTTTCAACATTTTCCTTAATTTACAGATTCTTTTGACTTTCCATAGGAATTTTCATTCCCCAGTAGAAAAGTAATTTCCTTCGAATGCAGCATAACATCCCTGAATCTTGCTTTACTTGTTACTAAGTCACACCTCAGAGGTAGCCATGGACCACAACTTGAAAGCAACCATAGAATCATTAAGGTTGGAAGAGACCTTTAAGAGCATAAAGTCCAAAAAGACACGATTATGAGCCAGTCATCCCATATGTGACCTAAAACCTGCAATCTCTTGTAATGCATTACTTCTTGTAATGCATTCTCCTCTTAGACACCATGGGTTTCTTCTTCCACTGACAGGACAGGAGGAATCAGGATCAGCAGCCCTGGGTTATGGTTAGATTGAAGGACCCAGTGTTTTCTTGATGGTAGACTGCACAGTAGTTGCAATGTTCATACACAGTGATTTGAACAAAGATCATTATGGAGGACTAAATACCCATGGCCTGCACAGATCTCAGGTCTCAGTACCTGAAGATAGGGCCCAGTATCTATCAAGATCAGATCCTAAAACTGTTCTACCCTAATCAGCAAGTTGCCACACTTTAGATATTGCACAAGATACTGTTTCTATGCAGCGTGGTCATCAGCAGGTCAGGATATGGCTTAAAGGCAAGGATCAGCCATGAATCCGCATGCCAGAAAAAACACAAGTCTCATGTGCCACGGAAGTTCCTACAAAGCCCATGTTGTCAGCAACCACACCAGCGCTCAGACCTGAAGTGTAGTTATCGACAGCTCTGTCCTGCTGCCTTGTTGGCATGGCTGCCCTTTGCAACCTCTGAGATCCTAGGGGGATGGTTGGCCCATCCCATGTCTGCTCTCGAACAGCAGCAGTGGGAGTCATTGCATGTGCAAGTGATAATCTCATGTCCCCATCAGTGCCTCCCCCTTCTCCTCCACTCTTACAAAAAAAAAAACCCAACAACCCCCATAACAAACAAAAATAAAACTACATTTTAAAAAAATAAAATAAATAAAATTTAAATAGAAGGAAATCTGGACATGACAAAAGCTTTAATCACCATTTGTAAAGTGAGTTTGGAACCCTAAGCTCTCCTGAGAACCAGAAAAGTACTGCAATAAACCAGATCCCCTCTGTGCTAAGGTCTTTGTCTTCGTCTTTTTAAAATTGAATTTGTTTCAGTTAAGGTTGGTTTAGTCTTAATTTGTATTCATGCTGGCGATGTTTCTTATGCCAAGGATATCTGTGGGGACAACAGTCATTCTTCACACACTGGTTATCAGATGTGAGGGGTCCAGTTCATTGTACAGTGATGTCTGTGGGGTGTCAGCATGGACTGAGCAAGGATCAGTCCATCAGGCTGTGCAGAGGCTCTCTAGAGAGCCATAAACTTTCAGATCCTGTAATCCCAGTCCAAATGTTTCAGGTGGAGCCTGTATAGCCTTTATAGTAAATACAAACCTGCATTAGTTCTCAGGCAGGCAGAAATCCTGCATTCTCTCTATGTGGCTTTAGAGAGTCCTTAGAATCACCTCATTAAAAGGATCTTGCTATGACATGCATCATCTCTTATGCAGCCCAAGATTTTCCTATTAACAGTATATTAATTAGCTTCAAATGAACTTTAGTACCCATATAGCAAAACTTATGTGTATCATGTGACTAATGCAGTTTTCACAGAATGACAGAATTGTTATGGTTGGAAAAGACCATTAAGATCATCAAGTTCAGCCCTTAACTCTACCCTGCCCACTTCTAAGCCCTGCCCCTGAGCACCATGTCTAGATGGCTTTTAAATACATCCAGGGGTGGTGACTCCACCACTTCCCTGGGCAGCCTGGTCCAGTCTTTGATAACCCCAACTTTTCGTAAGCATTTTCTTTGGCTTTGGGTCCTCTTGGATTCAAGTACTACCAAAACCCGAGATGAGATTGGTCAGTTTTGGCACATTTTTATAATTTAGCCGTCAGTATCTGAACTACTCTCCCTAAGTTCCTGCTCATCATCAGTGGAGGTGAATGGTTCAGTTGTCTACATGTACTGATCTAGCAGTGTCCAAGACACCTTACTGGGTGTCAGATACCATGCAAGACTTACAGGAGCCTCATGGTCTCCTGTAGCCCCAGCTGAAGACCAGGGTGGTACCCTTGGGCATCCCCAGCAGCACTGGGCACCCACTCCCCTTATCAGTACTGGCAGCATGGTTTAGGGCAGGACTCAATCAACCAAATGGGGGTATCTCTTTTCAGACAAAACTTGACTGTAAAGAGCTGTGCTTGCATAGTTCTGAAGATAACACCAAAGTAGATATCTGCATTAAACAATTGCATCTCCCCTTGGGACTAGGTGAGCCAAACCCCATCCCAGGATTACTCACGCAAGGTAAAATTTTAGGGAATTAAACAGAATTCTTCAAATGGCCACAAGATGTCACCACCTCTTCATAGAAATTTCCAAAGGGAGCTATTCATAGGGCAAGGGGGAAAAAAACAACTGTTAATGAGCAGTTTCAGCTCTTCTGAGCAGTGCATACCTAATTTTACATATAAGTAAGTATATACATGTAATATCGATTACACAATAGCGGTTTTAAGCATGCATATTGCATATAATACAATACTGTAAATATACGTTCTATAATGTAAATGAAAATAGAATGAGCTAAAAAGGTCTGGATTTGAGGGATTTTTTTTTCCACTTTTCCTAGAAAAACAATAAGATATTTTTTGTGTTAAAAGCTAGGGTTTCTGAGTATGACTTTTTGCCAGCATGTTTTGCTTTCAGGAAGAATATTTTTGTTCTAGAAGAGAACATTTTCTATGAAAAATAAAAGACAGAAGAAGAGAGCTGTCCTTCTGTTTTCGGTTGCCTCTAAGTCACAGGTGGGAGATAATGTGCTCCAACAACCTGTGTACAAATACATAAAATAAGACAAAAGGAATATGCACACTAAGTCTGAGAAATCAAACCAATTCTGAACATCTTGGAAAGCAGCTTTTAGGTGCTACCACTGTCTGATCCCCGTCTTGAAACAGCCTCAATCTGTGTTCTTAGCTTTGCTGAAATACGTTTTCCATGTTTGTCTCTTCCAGCGAAGCACATCTGACTGGGGGTATGTTGGAGATCTGGTGAGTTTTTTTTCTACCTCTGTAGAAAATAATACTGAACAAAGTGATTTTCTAGTTAACCATTTTTTGGAAATCAATCCTCTTGTTTGCTCAGTTCCTTGTTTTTACTGCTGGTTGGGTATTAACCTATTTTCTTTAAACAGAGCACTGTTTGCACAGTGCTGTTTATACAACTGCTCTTGGAGGGAGAAGGGTATGGCAAATATGGAGAAATAAGCATCAAATGTGATTAGACAAAGGCAGTATCTTAATATATCTTAATACTGCTCTCCTGCTGCCATGGTTTAACTGTTTACATGACTAGGTTGTCAAGTCTCCTCTATTTAGGACCTTTATTGAAAATGTAAGCTCTCTCCTCAATATATGATGTTGAGGATTACTGTGTACCCTTCTATGTTGGATTATACCGAGTCATTCCAAGGACTAGTTGCATGGTCAAAAGAAAGGAAATTATTCCAGCTTAATAGATCTCCCTTTCAGAAATGTTATAATGAACTATATTCACATAAGTATCCTGTCACAATTGCCAGGTAAAATATGGAGGTGTCTTGAACTTGAGTTCATGTCCCCTCTGGCTGCCATAATGTAACGAACAGCAGTTGAAAAAAAGACACTGAGACTATAAAAGGGGTTGATATTGCCCTCTAGGGCACATTTTCTAGCTGTATCCCACATTTATAGAGTAATTTTGTCAATTACAGGTGGAGGATGATGACAAGATAGGTCTTTACAGCTACAAAGTTCAATCCACTATAACGTCACGGTTGGCCAACACGATGATCCAAGCCAAAATGGTGAATAATGCAAAGCGGTCCCAGCACATAGTGTTTGATGTACAGGTCCCCAAAGGAGCTTTTATCGACAACTTCACCATGTAAGTAGTTGGCAGGTATCGGCCTTGTGCTTTGACAGGTTCAGTGTGGTGGCAGAATGTGGTGAGAGGGAAGTATTTGTAAAAGCAAAAGACCTCTTATTGTTTTCCGGGTTCCATGTAATTTTAACAGGCTTTCTCAAAGAAAAAAGGCTCATGTCATCAGTCTGTCTGTCTGTCTCTTCCTCTCCAGTAATTATTGGCCATTGGCCAATGTTGACAAAATTTTACAAAAGAACAGAAGTCTCAAATAGGCTTAGATCCTACCTGCCTTGTGCAAGTTGGCAGCAGATCAAAGGAGGCAGAGAGACCCAAATTAGAGCCCTCACTGAACAGAAAGAAAGTAGACTGGCTTAGTATCCATTCAGAGAGACAGCAGCCAGCTTGGTGGTCAGAAGATGTGTCCTGACCCATGTTCCAAAACAGTCATGACATCAGTAATTGCCTGTTTTGCCCAAAGGATGGGAAAGTGTGAAGGAGGTGAGGGAGAGAGAACAGATCCTCCTCCGAGTACAAAAGTGATGGCTACTTGAAATAAAAAAGCAGGTAGGAAAAAAGATACAGATGGAAGCCAGACTTCATTACTTTGGGGTTGATCAAGAGCCTTATATTATTTCCCACCAGCTTAGATTTCAATGATGTTTTTCTTAAGTGAAGAAACAGTTGTGAATTGTAAAGTTGTTTCTTTTGCAAACTGTCTGTGCTTCTCTCTCCTAGGGATATCAATGGTATAACATTTACCAGCAGAATTCGGGAAAAATCTGAAGCCAGAAAAATGTATGCTCAAGCAAAAGCCAAAGGCAAAGCTGCTGGAATAGTAAGGTATAAAGGCTTTGACACGTGGATATGGTACTGAAGTTATTTAGAGGAGAACTGAAGTGGCCCATCCCAGGAACAGCGAGATGAGGGGGGACCCCGCAAATGGATGTGGGTTGGAGAGACAGGTTTTGCTTACTTATGGCAACTCTGATATTTAATTGTCAAAGACTTAACTTGTGTTCCTACTTCCAGCTTGGTAAAACATAATGTGCTAGCAGACAACTGCAGTTCCCTGGTATAGGCCACAATTAGAATTAGACCCAGCAAATGTATAACTCTAAAGCACTAATGCAAAGAAGCTCTCTCCTTGCACATTCTCAAAATAACTCCACAGCTGACTTTTCAGGAGCAATGCCATGGATATGGAAAACTTCAAAACGGAGGTGAATGTGCCCCCAGGGATGAGGATCCAATTCGAACTTCACTACCATGAAATGATTCGAAGGAAACTGAGCTCCTATGAACATCTCATCTCTGTGAAGCCAGGACGCTTGGCAAAGCACATGGAGGTAAAGTAGAGCTGGTGTGTGTAGGCAGCACCCCATGGGTGAATCCTCACTGAGAAAGCAGCCAAGGTTCCTACAAGCCCCACAGTAGGACGCTTCATCTACAGCTGCTTCCTTTCATATGAGCTTGGTACAAATAGCCTCAAGGTCACTGTGTAGACCGGCATGAGACACTTCAAACCAGGAGCTATGTAGTTACATGCTTGAGGAGCAAATGTGTCCTGCCTCCTGTCATACTAACACAGTTGGGCATCTCCTGAATCGTGACTGACTCACGTCAGAACCGCTTGGGCAAGCAGGCTTTGGGCTATATATACCCTTGTGTAAACTTACCTTGACTGAAAGAAAACAAAGAGTATTTGTCATTTATTTGGAACAGTGCTTTTCACAATTATCCCAACTTCATGAGATAGTGATCCTATAAGAACAGATGATCTCTGAATGACAGTCCATCCACAACTGGCTGCCAGAAGATGATTTGTCTTATTCTTACCCTTTCTTATAAACATTCATGGGTGTCTTCTGTCATCCATCAACAGACACAGGATACAAGGGTAGCTGGACATTCCCATCTGGCCATTCTGATGTTCCTGTTTCATAAACGTCATCATCAGCTTTCCATGGCTTCAGCACAAGCTGTATATATATTTGTTGCTCACATTTCCTTGGTGCAGGCTGTTATCTGCTTCAAGCTGTCTGAAGGCGTGAGTTAATCTTACTGAAAACGATGCCATGTCTTGTCTCCTAGTAGTCTAACTAACTATTCAGAAACACAACCAGAAAAAGCCCTTGCCTCAGGCTGACATGAAAAAACCTTTATTTTTTTAAATCACCTTGGCTATCCAACCAAAAGCAAAAATCCTGTCAACAGCTTGAGTAGAGAGGAAAAGATCTCATCATTGAGTGTGAGGACTCATCATCCTTCTCGCCATCTAACCCAAAGCAACGCTTAGGCAGAATAATGTCATGCTTCTTCCATGCTTACAGCATAAACAATGTTATCACCCTTGACTCCTACCCCACCACTTGCCCCAGGGGTTGAAAGAGAGAGGAAGAATGAGAGTTTCCACTAAAGTGTCTCTATTCTTTGGACATATGTATTTTGTCTTTCCATCGTGGTCTATTTTCAGCATTGCATGGATCCCCACCACTAATGACGCTGGCTCTTCTGGAGCGTTCTCAAAGGCAATCCACCCCCCAGCTGGAGCTTGCCTGTGGAGGGTTCATAAGACCCTCATACAGCACTGGTAGGGCTTCATACCTAATATCCTTCCTTCCTGCCTTTAGGTGGACGTCCGTATTATTGAGCCACAGGGACTTCGCTATGTGCATGTTCCTAATTCACTCGGAGATCATTTTGATGGAATCACCACCATCTCCAAGGGAGAGAAAAAGGTAACAGTCACAGACTGGAAATAACATGAAAACTTCAGGTTTCATGCTTGTTCCGATGCAGTCACGGCATTTTTTTTGTACCTGCTGGAAGTATGCAGAAATATGGCCAAAAAATACAGTGTCTTTGTTATTGATAACTAGGTGTATGAACAAGATGCTCAAATACTACAGTGAGAGCAGTATCAAAATGGTGTGTAGTTTGCCCACCTTTGTCTAAAGCTTTTAATTTGTAATTCTGAAAGAGCAATGCACTGGGATTACTGGATATGAAAAAAGTAGGTGATGAATATCAAGTGGAATAACCATTCTGTAACAACTCCACAATCTCCATTTCAATGGCAAACTTCTGCATAGGGACTTATTTTAAGACTTGACATTCTTACCCCAGCTTTCTCCAGCATAGCTCTTGTGTGTAAGTAAACTCTCCAACAGGAGAGAAGTTTTTCCTCAAGAAACTACAAGTAGTGACTCTGTACAACTCTTTTCACTCTTACATAGACATCTAATACAGGACATGTGAATCAGGCCCAAAAATTCTCTCTGTACTACTATAATAATACGTCAGGCAGTATTGTTTCTCGATATCAGGCTCAGCTCATCCACCTACTTTCCAAGTTTAGCAAATTATTTCAAAGGTAGTGTAAAGAGATAACCTCTGACCAAGCTTAATTGTGAATTTGAAGGCAAATAAGTGAACAGTAACTCAAAGTCCCATTCAGCTGCTGTTATTTTCGTCAATTATCCGGAGGTGTGGTTTGTTGCTGTTATTAAACTTCACTGTCATGGCAGTATTCTTAACAGCATATGTAACTAGGATATAGCAAAATATTGCCAGTATTAAGATTCTCTCACATAGTCTTGTTCACAACATTAATGCAGAAACAATTTTCACGTGTTTCAATGACCTTGCATCGTAAGACGGGTCCTGCACAAGCATTAGACTCTGTGAGTGTACGTGAAAGCTTGTTGCTGGCTATATATATTATGTCGTCTCTTCTCAGGAAATTTCAAGTTATCCAGTCAAAGCAGAGAAATAATACCATACAGTCTGCATAACCAGCCACGTGAAAATGATTCCTGGTACTCAATTTACAGACAAATTACAAGCTCTCATTTGTTCGGGTAAAAAATCAATTAAAAAGTTATTTTTAAAAGTTGATTAAATCATGGATAGTTTCAACTGGGAGAATGTTAAATGAGCCAACATGTTAACTACTAGAAACGGTTTGCACAACTCTAATTGAAATGTTTGGTGCTGTAGATACGGGTCACCGTGTTTGTGTCACAGTCGCTACTACTGAATCAACATATCCAGGCAAACCTTAGAGCTGTTTTTCTTTTGAAGTGACAAAGTCCATTTTCTGCTTAAACTAAGTGTTCAAATAGAGAAAGAAGAGAAGTGTTCAGTGAATTAACGTGTTTCAGAACTAGTTGAACTCTTTTCGTTTCAATGATCCACATTTCACTCAACAGCTGATCCGCTGATGATCATTTCTCATTTCAAGGCTCATGTGTCTTTCAAGCCAACGATGGCTCAGCAACGCAAATGCCCCACATGCTCATCCACAGCAGTAGATGGAAATTTTGTGGTGCAATACGATGTGAACAGAGAAACCACAGGTGGAGAACTGGAAGTAAGTGTTGCTGTTTAACTGGGATGGGAATTAACTGCAAATACAAGAATTGCCGTCATTAAGCAAACTGTGCTAAACTTCATCATTCAGGAGAATAAGCATGAGAAAGAGCTCTGTATCCAATTGAAACAACAGAGAGATTTTAAGTGGGCAGAATGGATTTACTTAATTTATGACTAAGACATGGTCCTACATATAGTCAGGAGCAGCTTTCTGTCTTGTCCAAAAGCCAAAGTCTTTTATACCTAGCAGCACTCTGGTGATTTAATATTGAATTAGAGGACACAGCCATTGGAAGTTGTACCAATATATCTCAAGGAGACAACCAGAACATCACTATTTTTATGTTAACATGAAGCAGAATTATGGGGTTGAATTATTACAGACAGAACAGGCTTTTTAAAAACATTTTTCATTCCTCCCTATGCTAATGCATGGCAGTTGTCTGAGAACCAGGCTCTGCTTTCCTTGATAAAAAGTAAAGACTATGGAGTATAAATGGTGTAAGGCTACAAATACAGAGACGTGTGGAGTTGAAAGTTAGATCTGGCCCATAAAGAAGAGTAACATCTTCTGCTCTGTTATTCTTTTGAGTTCTCTGACATCTTTACTATAGCTCAGTTCACTGTGATATTTTATTTTATTTTACAGATTTTTAATGGTTATTTTATTCACTTCTTTGCTCCGGAAAATCTTGATCCTCTGCCCAAAAACATTTTATTTGTTATAGACGTCAGTGGCTCGATGTGGGGACTGAAAATGAAACAAGTAAGTGTTTGACCTCTGTTGCAAAATAAACCTCCTGCCAATTTTCCCCATGTGCTTTACCATACAATTCTGTAGCAGACTGGCACTCAAAATTACCAGCTAAGTCGCTTACACTTTGTCAAAAATATCACTGAATTTGGGGAATATTTGGTGAATCAAAGACTTCATGTTTTTACTCGTTCTTTATAGTTCTCCTTCCATGTTACAAGGAGAAGGTGATACCAACAGAATACAGATTTTAGCTCCAAATTAAATTTTTTTCAGACCACAGAACATTTTGCAGAGGCTCTGACCTTCCTTTTCTCTAATCTCCTCTACTGAATCCTGGGAAAGTCTCAGTGGGAATAGTACCTCCCTGCTCTCAAAAAGTTGTAGATAAATTCTTGACAGCCCACTGAAGAGCAGTAAGAATTGTTTAGACAACAAAACCCGCGGCAGGAGAGAGGAATGCAGCAAATAAGAAGTTTTAGTCTGCAAAAGTAAAGGCTTGGAGAGACATAATCAACTTCCAAATACACGAACAATTGTTCTAAAAGGGAAATGCATCAACTGACATTCATGCCCACCCAGGGTAGAATAAGATGGAATCAGATTAATTTAAAGCTGAAGAGATTTATATTAAATATCAGGAGAAACTCTGTAGTGCTGAGTGGGCAGTTGAGGAGGTTGTCCGTCATGTGCCACTGAAGGTGTTTAAGTTTGTTGGGGATGCTCTAGGAATATTTGAATTTACTTCAGAGCACAGTGCTAAGGCTTGGCAGATTGCTTCCTTGGGGAAATCAGTGCTGCATAACTGGGATACGGGCTAACTATCACTTGTTTAAATCACGCATCTTCCAGCAGAAGTTACGCAGCCTGAAATGACAGCATTGCAGACAGAGCTCAGTCCTCTGAGCTGATACAAGCAACACCTCTCTCCTTAACCACAGTGTCTCACAAACTGCTTCTCTCTCTCACCTCACTCTGTGTTAGCAGGAGTTAAGCAAGAATAGGTTGAATCACATGGGTTTGTTTTTGCTAATTGCCTTTTTACTGTGTTTCTTTCATGAAAAGTTCAACTTTATGCAAGAAGTGCCAAAAAAGGAGAGATTTGGATAGCAGATGCTTTTTTGGATTCCAGTGTTCATGTTCTTATTCATCAGAGGCACCTGCTTGCTTGTAGCCACAAGTTAAGAAGATGCTTTCGGCAACAGGAAGCATAAACTAATCTCTTAAATTTCTTCTTCTCAGACCATCGAGGCCATGAAGGCCATATTGAGTGAGCTCCGTGCTGCTGATCAGTTCTCCCTTATCGACTTCAACCACAATGTCCGATGCTGGAGAGATAACCTAGTGTCAGCCACCCCAGCGCAGGTGGAAGATGCTAAGAAGTACATCCAGACAATCCATCCCAATGGGGGTATGAGGTTTTGATTGCAAGGTGCTCATGGAAGTTAGATATCAGTGGAGTTGGTACCTCAGACAACTTTCAGATTGGCAGAGTATTCCTAACAAAAAGGCTGATTCTCAGCTGGGAAAAGCATGCCCTGGGGTTAAAGGAGAGCAAAGGTTCCAGTTAATTGTTTTAGGGGATAAGTTAATTGTTTTAGGATAATGATTTTTTTCTTCTACTGAATAAGCTACAACAGATAGACCATAGACCAGAGAACAGCTGCTTTAATCTGTAAGTGCTGCCCCCAGCCTCACAGATCCCAGATACGCTTGAAAGACCAAGGCCGTCTCATGCCTTTGTAAAGCAGATCCTAAGCAGCCCAGCTTCAGTGTCTCCACTGGCTGTATATTGTAGACTACACCATGATCTACTAAATGTCACCTTGGGCGAACTGTTCATTGGTTTTGTACCTTCATTCCCTCTCTGATAAATGAGGACAGTTGTCTTTTTCAGCCTCATAGCACTTTGGGTGCTTCGTTTGTTAGTGCTTGAGCTTCTTCTACAGAAAGGGCTCCCAATCATTTCAATCTATTGCTCTCTGAAGTGAAATTCTGGTTTAGTTGTTCAGTTATTGGTATGCCAATAGTGTGTAGAGGCTCTCTCCAACATCAGAGCCTTCTGGTGCTGTGGTACCTTCATTTCCAAAATTTTTAACTGGCATTATGTAAGGAAAGATCAACATGAAGTTACAGACCTGAGATCATCAGTGTTCTGGGAATAGGAAGCTCTGTTGGGTATATGAGTGCCTCGTAAGACTGATTTCGTTACCCTAAATGAACTGATAGACAAGCTAAGAGACCTGCACCCAACCAGCGTAGCCAGTTCACAATGCAGCATTTTATTATCCTGTCTCTGGAGCCACTGATGTTTTTGTTCCTTGACAAACAAAATACCTCTTTTCTGACTGCTCAGCCTTCCTACTCCTGTTGTTCTCATACTGATTTCTTACTCAGTCCCTTCTGTGCCACAGGCCAAACATTTAGATAGGCTGAGTAAACATACACCTCTTCTGTTCCAATCAAGATGTCCAAGGCTGGCTGTTTCTGGTTGATACCAAGAAAGAAAGTTTCTTCTCCTCTCATTCAGTCATCTGCCTGCAAACCCACTACTTCTCCTCACAGCAAACAATTCCCAACACCACAAATGGCCCCATTGGAATTAGTGAGGGGGGTGAGGGGAGAAGGTGGAGGTGGCAGCCTAGGATGGAGAAAGGTATCAATATTTGGTCTCTTAATGGAACTTAGTGTAAGATGCATATGTAAGTGTAGATGCAGATGTGTATATATCCATATAAATATATATTCATGAATTTCAACATAATGGTAAGAATGTTCAGCTAGTTATACAAGCATCACAGAGGAGTGGTTTTGCTGCCTTGATCTTAGGTGTTCTCCATGCTGATTATTTCCACTAGAATCTCAGAACTGATCTGGATTTGACCGAGACACTCAACAAGAACCAAACTTGTTTTCTTCATTGTGTCTCTGACAGGCACAAATATCAATGAAGCTCTTCTCCGAGCCACATTCATCCTGAACGAAGCCCAAAACTTAGGCATGTTGGACCCTAACTCAGTCTCCATGATTGTATTGGTGTCTGATGGAGATCCGACAGTAGGTAAGGATCCTACTTTAGGTGAGAAGAAAGGCCACTGGGATTAGCCTGAGAAAAGCATACAACACATAGACACTTTGACAGTAAGTTAAAAAAATTGTTTGCCTTTCTTCCAATGTCTGTGCTGCTCTTTTGCCAAGTACTATAGGTGCTGTGAGGCTTTGCATAGAAGCTTTTTAAAAATGAGCAGATTATGTCATGAAAGTTATGTACTTCTTGCAGTTGCAGAGATGCACAAGTCCTGTGGGAGAGGTAATCACAACAACCTTAGAAAAAATTTTGAATGGCCTTAGCCCGCACTCTGCAGTCCAAAGTGTAACGTCAAAATCAGGAAAATAAAGTAGAAAGCAAATTAATTTGGATTGGATTTGGTACAGGTTAAAGCAATTGTTTACTGCAAGATGCCAGCCCAGAGGAGACTGGCAAGAAAAGTAATTATGAAAAAAAAATTGGTCTCAATGTTGGTAGAGAACATCTGAAGTAGGAGAAACAAAGTAAAACCTCTATGGAGATGTCTTAGTCTGCAAAGAACTCGAAGCAGTAATTCTGGGAGAAGTCTAGATGTGTTACAATTACAAACTGCCCAGAAAGTTAAGAAGAGTACTGGGTATACAAAGATTATGCATCAGATACCCAAAAAAGTGTTCAAAGGAATCATCTTCAGTAGAAACAATTTGTTAATCTCCATCCAGGAGAAGCTCAGATGTTACTGTGGGCACTGCAAAATGGAGATTTGGCATCTGAGCTAGTTGTCTAAATTTCCCTTATATGAAGAGAGAACCAGAGGCACTGAAAGAGCATGAATATGCTTACCTTGATGGAGGCTTCCTCTGTTGTTTAGAAGGATGTCGCCCTTTATGTGTCCCCAAGGTGAGCTAAAGCTGACGACGATCCAGAAGAACGTGAAGCAGAGCATAAAGGATGAATTCTCTCTTTTCTGCCTTGGGATTGGGTTTGATGTGGATTACGATTTCCTGCAGAGAATCGCAACTGACAACCGTGGCATGGCCCAGAGGATCTTTGGAAACCAGGAGACTTCTGCCCAAATGAAGGTGGCCCACTGCTTCTGAAATTGGGGGTCCAGTTCTGTTCACGGCTATGGAGCTGGGTAACTCCACTAGCAGGAGTAGAGTTACTGTAGGTTCAGAGCAGGTGTCAGAAAAAGCATGGTTTCTTCTGGAGAATCCTGCAAGATGACAATCATGCTTACGTGTTCCCTGTTGCAACTTTTGTAGTATATATAACACATACTTTACTGCTCTGTGTAGGATTTATATACTATAACCAGTCCTAACCAGAAAAAAGATTTTCTGAATTAAAATTAAGGTCTGGATTTTACCTCAGACCACTTCAACGCTAACAAAAGGCCTAGATATAAATGCTAAATGTTAATTCAGATTTGGCCAGTGTAAAAAAAGTTTCAGTTCTAGGAGGCTACAGGTCCAAATCAGCAATTGCTGATAAACAAAATCTTACATCCTTATTCTATTTCTATTAACTGGTTTCAACACCTATGCAGGCTTCTCATACTTCTTCTTTCCCAGCAGAGGTGTGATAGGTACACACACGAGTGTGCCAAGACACACTACAGCCCCTCGGTATGAGGCAGCCTCCACCCATAGCACTGTAGGGGTACCCGTTTTCCCTCTGGTCCCATATGCTAAACCCGGCTGTGTCACATCCCAGCAGTTCACAGAATCACAGAATCACAGAATCACAGAACGTTAGGGATTGGAAGGGACCTCAAAAGATCATCTAGTCCAATCCCCAAGTACATCAGCCAAGTACAACAGGATCAGAAAGGATAGTCTACAGCACAGAAGTGAACACAAGTGTGATATAGGTCTAGTTTTCAGCAAGAATTAGGTGGGAAGCAGCTGTGTGTCTTACACAGTGGCCAAGAGCTGACCAACCTGATAACAGACTCAGGCCCAAGTACACCTGTGCTCAAGGCTTTTTGATCTAGGAAGAGCACAGCCCATGGGCTTCTGACCGTCTTTTGACTTCCATGGAACTTGGGTGAGATCTTCTCGCTGTACCCTCTTACAGGTGTACTAAAGTCTAAGTATAAAGGCATCCGCATTCTCTGGGACAAGGAAAGTCCCACTTGCACATTAGGGCTCCAGGTTTTGTCACCTGCTGTCCTTTTAGTAAGAGACGTGCATGTGGGAGGGTTGCTTCAGGTACAACAGACTGACTTCTCTGTCTCCTTCCATCCCAGAATTTCTACAACCAAGTCTCCACCCCGCTCTTGAAGAAGATTCAGTTCAACTATCCCCAGGAGTCAGTGTCAGACGTCACCCAAAGCAGCTTCCACAACTACTTTGGTGGCTCAGAGATAGTAGTGGCTGGGAAGGTTGACACGGAAAACCTGCAGCACTTGGAAAGCATCGTCACAGCAACAGCAGTGAGTGAAGGTGTCCCTAGGATACCTGCTCCTGGGGTTGATGGAGATGGTTGAAGAACCGTGAGGTTGATGGCTGGTTCATTTAGTTTTGTGCACAGTCTCCTTGCTGGAGGTTGATGCCAGCAGAGTGTTTTGTCCACTTGAGTTCTGGGCGGGAGTGTGGGGAAGCTCATGGAGGGGGTTGTCTAACAGTGCTGTGAAGCTATTGTGAAACAGCTTCAAGTACAGCCACAAACAGTCTCTACCTGCATCCTGCAGCCTTCCAGAGGAACTTCCTTCTAATAAGTGTACCATACAAAATCCAATTACAAACCAGACTAAGACTGTGGAGACTGTGGAGCACCTTCATGCTTTGTGAAGGTGCAGTGAAGATCCCCTAAGGCGGCTCCTTTCATTGCTGAACTGTTCACTGTTGGAGAGTTCAGGCTAGTGGGTCTACAGTGTGTCAAGTCCTAGCACTGTCCTTTTATGCTCTGCCTCGGGGCATATGTGATAAGACTTTCCTCATGTTTCAGGGCTGCTCTTCCAGGTGAAGTGGGATGGAGTGGGAGTACTAAATCCAGGTCCTTCTTTCTGAGGAGGAAACAAAACATCCACTCTCTTACAGGGCTTAGGAGTTGCCATTAGTTATTTGCTGGAAATATCAAACACAGTCAATAATCTTTCCTGCCTAAACACAGCGCAGTTCAAGGGTGTGTGGGAGAAAGTAGAATTTGGTTTCTGTTGCTCAGGAGAAATTGGATGTGGAAAAGCCTGTGGGGAGGATAGCAGAGCTCTGTTAACAGTAGAAGAAAGGTTGCCTCTTCTTTTGGCATGTGGTAGCACCCTCTTTGGCTATTGCTGACAGCTCCTTTATCCATTTTAATCCACTGTCACTAAAAACATCTTTAACAGAAGACTCTCTTGCTACCATGCAGTCAGGACAACAGTGCTAGGACTTTCTAATCTAGAAGTGACCATGAGCAGAGTCAGAGTTGTTCCTTAATGCCAGCCATGACAAGAGGGAAGTTCAAAGCCTCTCTGTTCTCCTGGGTCACCTTCCACTATCTTTCTCTCTTACTTATTGTGTAGGCAAATGCAGAGCTTGTACTGGAAACCCTGAGAGATGTTGAAGAGCTGGATGGCTTCATGAAGAAAGATAAATACGCAGATCCCGAATTCACTAGGAAGCTGTGGGCTTATCTGACCGTCAACCAGATGCTGGCAGAGAGGTGAGGAGAAACATGGTCAGTGATGGGAGGGAAGTGAAGCTTGAGAGCAATCTGGTCCTCTGTGAGACCACAGCCATGAGGCTGCTTACAGGGTTTCAAATAGGTAAGGTAAACAAATCAAAATAAAGGTAGGTGACATCTTCAGCCACATGCCTCCTATTTTTAGCACTTGCAGATATGAGTAAATAGAGCTTGGAAGCAATTAATTAGAGGAATAAGGGTCAAACAGACCTGGCTGTGGGCCTGAGTGATTGAAGTGAATAGGAGATTTGCCTTATGGAGCCTGAGTAATAGCTATGGGAGGTTCAGGATGAATCCCTTCTGAAGCAGAAAGAGGTCTCCCGCTAAGACCAGGAGATGGACTGGGCTTCTTTGAGTTGAGACGAAAGCCCACAGAAGCCAAGAGTAGTTGTCTTATGGAGGGTGCATTCATGCAGGCCCTCAGCCTTTTCTTCCTGCAGTACCTATCAGTTTGTCTCTATGACCGCTCTGTGGAGGTATTGTCATGGTAGCTGCCCTGTAAAGCTGCTAACCATTACTTCTTTTTTATTTTCCACCTAGAAACACAGCCCCTACTGCAGCTTTGAAGAGGAACATCACCAAATCCATCCTACAGATGTCCCTTGACCATCATATTGTTACCCCCTTCACAGCCATGCTGATAGAGAATGCTGAAAAGGATGAGATAATGCTGGCAGACCAGCCCAAAGACCCCAGAAGGGGCTGCTGCCCAGGTCAGTGTCTCAGTCTGTCCATTACTCTACCTCTCAGTTTGGCTTTGTTCTTCTTCTGTTGGAGGAATAACTGTGTTCACTCTGCATGTTTGTGCTTATGGGATAGCCTGTATATTCAGATAAAGATGACCAAATCTTCAACCAGTTTGAGAACATTCTGTTACACATGTGTTCTTAGGAGGCATTGACTTCAGTGAGGACTGGATGTGCCAACATTGCAATGACGAGATTTCCAATAAGCTTACAGTGTCACAGAATCTCAGGAGTTGGAAGGGAC